GCTGGGTTTTTTTTTTTTTTTTTAATTTGGTTTTGCTACTTCTGCTTATTTATTTTGACAGAGAGAATCCTCATAGTGAGTAAAGTATAGCCCCCTGAGACCTTGGATGCAGCACACTGTCATGATCTTTAGTCTGAGAGTGGGCTCTTAGCACACTGTCCATTTTAATCCCAGCATGTCCTTTTTTTAAAAAAATTGAGATAGAGCTAACATATAACATTGTATTACCTTCAGATGTACAACGTGATGATTGCGTATATGTATATATTGCAAAATGATCACGTCTGTAAGTTTAGTTCACTTCCATCACCACACAGAGTTTCACCTTTTTTCCTTGTGATGAGAACTTTTAAGATTTACTCTCAAAGTAACTTTCTAAATATATGAAATAGTATGTTTGATGTACGTTACATATACATCATGTATATGCACGTTACATAGACATCATGTATATGCATGTTACATACACATCATGTATATGCATGTTACACACACATCATGTATATGCATGTTACATACACATCATGTATATGCATGTTACATACACATCATGTATATGTAGGTTACATATACATCATGTATATGTAGGTTACATATATATCATGTATATGTAGGTTACATATACATCTGGGGATATCTATGACATCCCCAGAACTGACTTACCTATGACTGGACGTTTGTACCTTTTGGCCCCCGTTCACCCCTTTCAACCTCTCCTTATCCCTGCCTCTGGCAACCACCAATCTGTTCTCTGTATCCGTGAGTTCAGTTTTTTTCAGATTCCACATGTAAGTGAGATCATGTGGTGTTGGTCTTTCTGATTTATTTCACTTGGCATAATGCCCTCAAGGTCCATCCATGCCATTGCAAATGGCAGGATTTTTTAATTTTTTATTTTATTATTATTTTTTAGTTATTTATTTATTTTTGAAAAATTTACATCCAAATTAGTTAGGATATAGTGCAGCAATGATTTCAGCAGTAGATTCCTTAATGCCCCTTACCCATTTAGCCCATCCCCCCTCCCACAACTCCTCCAGCAACCCTCTGTTCATTCTCTATATTTAAGAGACTCTTCTGTTTTGTCCCCCTCCCTGTTTTTACATTATTTTTGCTTCCCTTCCCTTATGTTCCTCTGTTTTATATCTTAAAGTCTCATGTGAGTGAAGCCATATGATATCTGTCTTTCTCTGACTAATTTCACTAAACATAATACCCTCCAGTTCTATCCACGTAGTTGCAAATGGCAAGATTTCCTTCTTGATTGCCGAGTAATACTCCATTGTATATATATATATATACCACATCTTTTTTATCCATTCATCCGTTAATGGACATTTGGGCTCTTTCCATACTTTGGCTGTTGTCGATAGTGCTGCTATAAACATTGGGGTGCATGTGTCCCTTCGAAACAGCATACATGTATCCCTTGGATAAATAGTAGTGCCATTGCTGGGTCGTAGGGTAGTTCTATTTTTAATTGTTTGAGGAACCTCCACACTGTTTTCCAGAGTGGCTGCACTAGTTTTCCTTCCCAGGCAGAATTTTTTTTTTTTAAAGGGCTGAATAATATCCCATTAAATGTATGTACATGTTCACATTTTCTTTATCCATTCATCCCTCGATGGACAATTAGGTTGTTTCTCTGTCTTGGCTGTTGTAAATAATGCTGCAAGAAAGAGGACCATCTTTTTTTCTGCCCCAGTGTTATGTTCTGTACTTTCTGTACATTCTCACTTTGGTCACACCTAAAAAAAATTCTTTTTAAACAATCTTGGGCTAAATTGAGACTTGAAAATGTGTTGGTGGTGTTCTTCTGTCTCCCCCACACTGTGTTTTTGCTGCCCCATTTCCATTCTGAACTTCCTTTTCCGGATACTCATTCTTTTTATGTTCCTAGTAATTAATTACTCTCATTTTATCCCCCTTCACTCTCATTGATTCTTAGCTGTCCTACGTTCCGTCTCCTAGGATTTGGTTTAAAGACTAAATTTTATCTGATAAAGCAGCCGAGGACTATGTGTGCAGCACATTATTTCTTCCAAATGGCAAATGTACTTAGCAATTTGAAGCAATCTCAGCATCTCTTGGGATGTCATGGGATGTTTGGTGTAGGGAGCTTCTTCCTCCTCAGCTGACACCCAAAAGGTGAGCTGATTTAATGCGCAAAACCCCGCAGCAATTACCGTAATCTGTAAGAATGCTGGGTAATTGTGTTTACATGTTTTAGGTTTTTGTTTCCAGATGGAGAAAATGTGGCTCATCTGTGGTGTTCAAACATAGTTTCTTATTAATGGAGGGAAGAGAGGACACAAATGATGGTTGGCCGTTGGTTTTGTTCAAGAACTTAAAAAGAGGTTACTAGTTGTATATCCTTTGTATTTGGTTATAAGGTAGAGAGCATGTGCTGGGTACCCTAAGAGCAGGTCCGAGTCCTGACTGAGTCACTGACTTCTTCTTTTTTTTTTTTTTT